CACCCCTCCCACCCTGCTGTAGCCATCGAAAGACTGTGGCCAGGCTACCCTACCACTGCCCCGTGTTTGGGGGGGATAAGCACCATTAGCCCCCCCCTTCTGCTGCCTATGACCCTCCTCATGAGAGAGTTTTTCCTAATATCCAACCTAAACTTCCTTACTGCAGCTTGAGACTCCTTGTTTTGTCATCTGCCACCACTGAAAACTACTCCATCCTCTTTGGAACTACTCTTCAGGGGTAACTTTAACTACCCGACTGTTAAATCCCCCCTCAATCTTCCCTTCTTCAGATATTGTCTATGCCCCAGCAGCAGGCAGCCCCCAGGGCCAGGAGATAGCTATCTCCTGGCCTGGTACTCCCTGCTAGCCCCTGGGCTAGTACCCAGGGGGAGCCTGTAGCTCCCCCAGTGACTGCAGAGACCCATTGCAGGGCTGCAAGGAACTGGGTGAAAATTTTTCCCTATTCCCTGCATGTGTAGACAGCTACCCAAAAACCCTTATTCCACAGTATCTTACTGCATAGTAAATCTAGACTGGAGTAAATGCATGAGTAGATGTGCCCAATCATTCATATTCTCAGCTCTTGAAGAATTTTAAAACCTCCACACAAAAAAGCCTAAATCCTAACATCTTGGATTTTACAGTCTCCTAATCTACAGGTTAGGGAGGTATCTGAACAATTATTTTACAAGTTTCTCCAAGGATCAGAACATTCAAAGTATAAAAAGTTATTTTGGTGCCTCAGTGCAGAAACACTTCCACATGTACTTCACATGTGCTGTACCCCTTGGATGAAGTAAGTTTGGATGTGCAAGCACATGCAAAAGGGTAGAATCAGGCTATTATTTGTTATTAGCTAGAACCATTCAGGAAATGCAGAGGGTATTCAGTATGTGAGGAATGCACACAGGAGATATTACATCTAATGGCTGATAATGGCCATAATAAAATATAGACAGTGGTAGAAGGCAGGATTGAGTTAGTCAATGAAGTGCTAATCTATCAGATGTACAGTATAAGCTTTCACAAGCAGAGGGCTTACTTTATCAGATGTTGTGAAGGGACTTCAGGAAGCAGAGTTGAAACTGAAAACAAAAATTTTTGGCTGCTGTTGAAAGATGAGGAAAGATACATTGAGACTGTGAATGAGAAGAACCTTGAGCAACTTGAGTACCACATAACAGATACAATCACTTGTTGACCTTGGTTGCGATAGAGCTCCTGTGGTAGTTGAGATATTTCTGATTAAGATCCAGTGCAGCTACTTCTGTGAGTAGAGTTCTTTACAAGCACCAGGGTGGACAGAATCTATTCCTTATTTTGTTCATCCCTTTTGAACATCAATGATTGCTAAAAACCTTTATGATTAATCAAAACTATAGCAAATATCTCGCCTCTATTAAGTACTGCGGCAAGGATACTTAATGGGGACTTGCCATACCCACAAATTCACCTAGAAATCAAATTGCTAAAAGCAGAAATGACACTTCTTCAAAGCAAATTTAAGAAAATTATGATTGATAATTTCAGTAGCTAATTAAGAAAATCCACGTCTGTCTACAGTAGCATGAATAACAGGAACTTTAAAAGGAGTCATTGCTGTTGATCATGTCTCAAGAGGAATTAAACACAGACAAGTTAAGTGAGTGGAACTGACACACGAAGGATCTGAAAAAATTAAATTCACAAAAGACAACAAGCTATAGGTGACACTGCAACACTTACTAGTCCTCCAAAGGAAAAAGGCCCATTAGTTATATAAATAATATTTTAATTTGGTCATTTTATTCTCAGTGACCTCTAATAAAATGTTCATTCACTAATGTAAAGCAGCAGGGAAATAGAGGTCAAGTACACGCATTACATATAAACCAGTATAAGTGACAGAAAACCAGTCTACAGCCATAATAGAACAGAAGTTCAATATACATAGACTGTGTTAAAAATGGCAGGGCCCAAGCTAAGATAGACCTGGATCAATGTGCACTCCAACTTAATTGATTTGCATTAGCTAGCGTATCGATGCTGTGTAACAAATCCCCTAACAATTCATGTTAGATTGCTGTCCACTGGCATCCCAGGCATCCTTGTGGCCCTCTGCCAACCTCCACAGAAGGGAGATGTGCTAGCACACTCCCTGCACCCAGCAGCCAGGTGCCCAGTAGGCCCCATCCCTGGGCTGTCACAGACCCAAGCCAGCACAGACACTCTTGCTCACCCCTGACTACAGCCAGCTGTCAGCCACAGGCAGGTAGGGAGGAGGGAAGGGAGGCTCACCTCATGCCAGGCCCCAGTGAAGACAGGGGCACTCGATAAAAGGAAGGATCGGGCACCTTGAAGCTCAGCGCCAGCAGTTGCTGGTATCAGGATGTGCCTAGCAGTCCAGGAGGCTCGTGCCCAGGAGCAGGAACAGCCACCCTGGGGGAGCTGTGCTCAGGTGCCTGCCTTTGCTGGCGAGAGCACAGGTGGCAGCTCTGGCTCCAGCTCTGGTCTCTGTTGGTGCAATGGGGGACACTTGGGTCGAAGCAGCCTCACCCGTCCACCTGCCCAGCACCACATAGCAGCCTGGGAGATGGAGTCAAGCCTGCCTGGAGCCTATGGATCTGAACTCCATCTCCCAGGCACCGCAGGTGATGCTGGGCAGAAGCAGCCATGCCCACCTGCCCCACTTTGCCCCCCACTCCCCAGCTGCTGCCCATGCCAGCAGGGGCAGTGGCCCGAGTGTGGCTTACCCAGGGCCTGCCACATGGTGCTAGGCAGGTAGGTGGACAGGGCTGCTTCCACACAGTGTCCCCTGTGGTGCCTGGAAGATGTAGTCTGGTCCTGTGCGCCCTGGGCAAGCTACACTTAGTCCCCAGCATCTGCTGGTGAGTGGTCAAAGGCCTGCGGTGCTTGCACCCAGCAGCTACCTGGGCCTGAGTGCATCATCCAACCTCTGCCCAGGGGGGGAAGGAACCTGGCCACGGGCCTCCACTCTGTCCTGTCTTACCCCACCACCAGGGCTCCTTGCAGCTGCAGTGGGGTGTGTACGTGTGCGGTCCAGGAGCCCTGTTGGTTGGGCAGCACAATGCAGAGGCCCACAGCTGGGCTCCATCCCCCACTCTGCAGACACAGCTGACAGGTGCTAGCTCTGGGCAGTGGGGGTGGGGGAGAGGGCTGGGGCAGGGGTGTGTGTGTGTGTGTGTGTGTGTGTGTGTGCGTGCGCGCGCGCACACGCATGCGCAGCCCTCCTCAAGAGCTCACCAAAACTCATTAAGTGGCCCTCCAGGCCAAATAATTGCCCACCTCTGATCTAATCCCAAGTGGCTGCATCAGAGGGAGGGGGAAGTGTTGGACCAGACCAAAGACAAAGGAACAACCTCCTACTTCTACAGAAAGGTTTGTAAGATATCTAATGAGTCATCAAAAGGTTCCATTCAAAATAATTTATTTTACCTCTTTCAGAAGGATGGAAGGCTGGCCTACAGAATTAACAGGAATGAATGCTAAAATGCATCTATGGTGAAATAGTCTCTAGTATAGAAAGCTAATGCAAAATCTATGTATAACCCAATGTGTAGTGTAGGCTAGGAGTCCCTCCTGCTTCAGTAGTCTTTTAGAGAGCATGAACTTTAGTAACTCATACTTTTAGTTCTGGGCCTTCCCCTGTTCAGTCCCAGGTATGTAGCCCTGATGCTAGCCAACATGTAACTGAGAACTGTAATTACTCTCATTTCTTGTGGATCAGGTATCTATGGGGACACATACTGATCAAGCAATTACCTGTGCACCATTTAAATCCCATTAAACCCATATGTACTGCATAGGCCTGTGCAAACTGCTCAGGGCTGAATGTCACATATATTTAAGATAAAATGAGCAGCTAGCAGTAACTGGATTACTTTATTAACAGTCCTGTTTAGAACATAGCCTTCTCCTTAAGTTTTATAAACTGCTTTCTCCAATGTCACAAGCACCAAGGTGCCTTCTGAGGCAAACTTTGAAGGTCTGAAAATAGAAGTGTGCCATAACTTTTAAGGAGGATAAAGAAACGACGGAAAATTGTAAGAGTATAAAAAGTGAAGCCCACTATTAACAAATCATCACAAATATACAAGTCTTACAAACAAATAGAAATTTCAAGCTAGTCACAGTCTGCCTAAATGTTTACTGAAGCTATTGCAGCAGTGCTGTAACAATGGAAGATTTAAATCAGATGAGTGGCAGGTGTGTTTTTTTACATTTCTCCATGAAGTGTTTTCCTGGGGATGCAGGTGAGATGTCTGGGAACTTCTGAAGGACAAAATGTGTGCAGATTTTAACTGTAATTGGGGGGAGCCAGAAAAATCCTGTTTGAACTATACCAAGAAAAGTGACTAAATCATCACCTGAAGCAACAGGGCCCAACAGAGCGGACGTTTGGTTTGTTTTAGGCTTCAGTGAGCACAAAGTTCTGGGAAGGAGAATGTCAGATGTAGTTTCATAATGTTTGGACATTTTGGTATTGCAAAATCCTTTCCACAAGTAATAGAAAGAAGGCTGTGTACTGCCAGACTCAGCCACTAAGCAGCACTGGTCATCTATGAGACAACCCCACGAGATAACATCATGTAATTTTTGGTGAATGACTGTACTTGTTTTGCAAATTGACCGTCAAGACCCTGCTACCCCTTTAGTCAGTCTTCAAAATGCATTCTCTGGCCCAATATCAAGAGCTAATATGGAGTTTGTCTTTGTCGCATGTCGAGGGCTACAGCTTTCCCCCTGCATAGTCTCCAAGTACCCTCTCCTCACCCACAGCAGAGCCTCAGCAGTCTTCTGTGGCTGTAGGGGGGGTTTTAGAGGATTTGGCCCAGAAAACTTGGTGCTGATGCTGCCCATTGAGCAAGTACTTCTGCTGTTTCTCAGGACATTGGCTAGGGAGTTACACATAAGCCGGTTTAAGTGATCAGAAACTGGTTTAAACCTTTAATAGAATAGAAGCTCAGTGCACATAAACCAGTTTCAAACTGGCTGAAACTGGTTTAAGATAAACCTGTCTGAATGTAGTAACAGATTTAACTGATTTAGGTCAAACCAGTTTATGAAAGTTTTGTCCCAAACCATGGGCTGCTTGTCTCAGTGACTAAAGCAGGCCTGTACTGCTCTGAGGTTAGTTGAGACCCAGTTTATCCTAATGTCAGTAAGAAAAACAGTGCTTATAACAGCTCTGCAGGAAGGAGCAGTAAGTACCTCTTCTGATACTAAAGAAAGGCCAGGCCTATCTACTTCCATTGTTCCAGCTGGATTGCAAGGGAAACAGTAAATAAACAGCATGAATGAGGGAAGAAGTTCAAATGCTTACAATTCTTTTAGTTGTAATAATCCAATGCATGACTAAGGAAACCAGCTAAAATGTCAAGGGTCAGCTCCTCAGTCAATGAAGCTGTTGTAAGATACACTAGCAAAGGATTTGACCCATGATTTTCTTTTTGACAGTATCCCTTTAATTAAAATACATGTGATGTTCTCCAGGGCTTGGATAATCTGCTGCCAGAGTAGCATCCATTGTTCTCCATGAAGTACTTATCACCCACACTCACAAGAAAGGGAGCTTCAACTTGATGTTCACGACAGCTCTCTTCAACTGGTTCTGTTTGGATTTGGAGAGGCTTCACTCCGCATGAATTTCTTGCAAAGAAGGATAGAGCTAAGGCTGTGAATCACCCTAGAAACAAAGGATTAGTATGGGTAAATATCTGGAAATACCACAGTACTGTAAAGTGTGACTAAAGCTATTATCCCTGAGCAATAGAAAGTCTCCCCACCCCCACAATCTCTTGAGAATATGGTAATTATTACCAGGGGTGTGTGTGAATGCTGTATGCCTGGAATAAGTCACTCTAGTCAAGCAAACCCATGCTTAGTGTTGCCCTTTCCACATGTAACAATGCTGGATTATCGATAAAAGACTATTGGAAGCACCTGTCAAAATACTGTTATTGTTAAACCTTTATAGTTCATTAATACCAGATGGACTTAAGCATGTGTGATTATTTAATTATGGGTGTTTTACTCTCTCATCTGCTGCTGAAGTGATCAGTAAGGCAAAAGGCACACAGCCCAAGAGAATTACTGGACTCTTCCCTAAATCTGATACTATGCAAACAGCCATGAACTATGCAAAATTTTCACTCCATCAGCAGTGAAAAATGGCTTATTGGCTCCCTGTCAAAAATAAGTGGCAGGGTTGATATGCACTTTCTCCCTATGGTAATCTGCTTGACATACAAACAACTGTGCCCGTGAAGTAACCATAATAGTCATTCAAACTATCCAGAATCAGTCAATGGGCATGATTAAGCATATGAAAGTCCCACCCATGAATCTCTGTGGTACTCTCCAATGCTCTCAGGTCTCTGTGGTCCCAAAGGCCCTTGTTGATCATAGCTGTTAATAAGCTGAGGTTAGGGGGAGGAAATTTCCTCCCTGATATTAGGTTGAACATTATGGGAGTTACACTGTGTCCTCTAAGTTGGCTAGAGTCCTATATGTTTCTGAGTGTTTTTCCAATATTCCTAAGCCTTCACTTTTATGACAGTATAACCAGTTTAGTATCTAAATGATGGAAAAAGTCTGAAATGGGTGAGTGAATCCTAATCAGAGCCTACTGATTAAACAAATGTTCTGTTTCCATTCAATGACCCTGCACCACTGTGGTCATCTGTGAATTAATCCCCTGGCAATGTCATTTCATTCTTTTTTAAGACCTGCACTGTTGTATTGGGCTGAGAGTCTGTATAAAGAAGACAGGATGATAATTTCTGAGGAAAGGTAATGAACCCTTGTGTGTTATACAGTTGTGTAGGAAGCACAGGGCAGCATAAATCATTATTGCAGAAGGTAGGCATCATTTTAAATCGATAACTTTGAAATGACAGTCAGCACTATTGTACTGAATTTTTCGCTGTTAGCTCTCTAAGTGCCTAACAATATATTATGTGGATGACGTGGCCAATTCTGCTATTGCAATTTTGCTTGGTTATTCTGTATTAGAATCGGGGTCGATCCTGGCAATTACACTGATGTGATGTTGGTTAGATGGTAAAATTTATTGCATGTGAAAACTATAAGGAGAAAGTTTAAAGCAAAATGAAAGTATGTGCATATATGGGCAGGGATGCCATCACCAGGAACTGGAGCATTAAATACAAACCTGTGTGATTTTAACTTCTGGGAAGATATCCAGAAGTCCTTTTAAAGTAATAAATTACATGCTGATAGTGCAGTAATGATATAAATGAAAAAGATATACCAGTACCTGACAACAGAAAGCATTACGTAGAATTGGGAGCATTAACACCAGTCAACCTGGAACGAGAGTAAACCAGCTTTCCTAGCTGTCTCCTCTAATCATCAAGTACCACAGGATCATTGACATCCACGTGAATGACTAAGACCATAACCCAGTAATAAAAACTTTTTTTTTATTGACAATGCCCTGTAAAACATATTTTTGACAAAAATATCTTACTGGAGTGCTGTATAGCTAACAATAATCACTGTTGATCAGTGTTTCTTTAAATTAGTTTAAAGCCAGTAAGTATACTGTAGAAATTCATATACATTTAATGAAAAGAAGACATGAAAACATGTTCTGATCAATATTAGTTCTTCAGTTGCTTGGCACATATAGAAAAATTGCCATCCTTAATTGCATCTTGATACAAGAAAAAGAGGAATAGCCAACAAAGGAAGATGCTAAGAGAAAATGGCACTGCTTTAGCTTTTATAACACTAATGTGATTTGGAATAAATTACTCAAACTTTTATTGCACCAAGTAACTTAAAATGTCTGTTTAATATTTTTCCCAGTTCACCATTTGATCTCTGTAGTCTATGGAGTTTCCCTTGACTTCCATTTAACCTGCTGTTTCTGACATGAGAGGTATTTTAATTAATAGGTAGCAAGATTTTGATGGGGGAAAAAAAGAAAGAATACAGCCCA